CGTTAACAGGTTTGGGCTTACCACACAAATGCATTGTTTGTGAGTCGGATACTTCATAGATCTGGTGTTAATTTACTAGGGATAACGAATCCAATATTGTAAGGCAAATAACTCTGTATAGTTGCATTTTTTCCCTCGTACTTTTTATCGAGTTTGAAAATATAGGCGGTCCCATAAATATATATATATATATATACACACACAGAGGATACTTTGGTGGCCACTTGTCAGTTCCTCACCGTTAACTGTGATGACTTTGCTGCAATAGATTCTCTATTTCACTAAGTTGCAATTTTGACGTATGTAACGGTCTAGTTTATGAAATGACTTCATTTCATTCAATAAACGTGTGTTTGGGACAGCTGTATGTTTCAGACGTAGATTTAAATATTTTCAGGATGAAGAGTGCTTATTGAAGCGACTAGACCCTAAATAATATCGAAATTCACCACTTTCTTTCGAAACTCAAAGGTTTATTACCATCACGTAGGCTACGACAATGGTCATTATTTTATGCTAATGAATGTTTTGGCATTCGAAACTGAAATTAGAAAAGCTTATGTTGGGGTGACAATTCATTTTTTTTACTAAAATGTATCGAAATATTACAATTTTTTTAAAGATCGAACTGCAAAAGCGGTCCCTTCATATGAAGACCTGCACGAATGTTTACGAGCTGAAGTTGAGAATCAAAACCTGAAAATTCTCGAATGAGGACTTCGACGGGCAACGACAAAGGACAAATGCCAGAATCATAATTTCGCCAGAATTTTTCCATGCGTACTTTTACTAATTTGCTATATTAATAATAAGATACGTCTATTTGTCGATATTATACATGTCCAAAATTATGTAACAAATTTTGATTGAAAAGTAAGATGGCTTCCTTCTGAGTTGTTGCCCCGTATAGTCTGTTAGAAGTCTATCGACGTTACACAGGTCCTTTGAGGCAGCAAGCACCTCCGAAAAGTAAGCAAACGTCTACCAGATTACAGGGAAAGATATTATCCCACATTACCAATATACGAAAGCTATCTTTTACGTCATTAGTATCAAGCCTAAACTTCTATCTGAACATTTTTTAGACATAAGTACGTATACCCATATATTTTAACAATACAAAAGGAAATATCTGCGGAATATTTTACTGTGTTATTCTGAGACCAGCTAAGTGCCAGGCCAGAAATGAAGCCCATAACGTAGGACCAGGTGTATAGTAGTGATAAATTTGCCAAGGCTATCTCACACCTCGTGCTGAAGCGATGGTATGTAGCAGTGATTATTAAAAGCGGGAAGTCGGAGATCACGTAGAAAAATCTTGCTTTAATGACACTGTAGAACAAGAATGTGAGTAATTCTCCCAGAACTGTACCCGGTTTGACGTGATAAAATTCCAGGATTTAGCCACCTTGAGCTATGCTCCAGCCTCCGAATTTGTATCCGCAATTCATCAAGGAAAATATCGTACACAACAGACAGATTTAGAAAATATATGCACCAAAATTACAGTGCGGATATTTTGTTCAATTATGTTCCATTCTCGTTTACAGATTCCCAAACTGACGCTGCACCAAACTTCGACACAAGAGAGGGTCTACAAACCAGAAGTTAAGGTAGAGCACTTTTAAGAACTTAGTTATGAATATTTATTACGAATCACTTGTTTGTGTATCTCTTACAAATACGAATGCTAATTAATGTGGTTCTTGTGGAAACACTGCGCTCGACGGAAGGTTTTTGTGCCTTCCGTCTTCCCTTGTTATTTCAGCTGCTTTTGGATATTCAGTGCTGATTTTGCGAGAGAGAGAGAGAGAGAGAGAGACTGTTTCATTTAAAAACAACAAATTGCAACATCTCGTGTTGAATTTTACGGTCCGGCGAGGGACGGACTCCATTGTATTTTCGCAGCATATACCTAACTTACTTTGATTAATGTGTTATTTCCTAAATTTTAATATGCGGCTAAGAGCTATCTCACAAATTTACTTAACGAAAATGTTGTCTTCAGCACTTGTCTGTGAAACGGATATTGCCATAAGGACTTTCTGTCTTCAATAAACAATAAAGATAAATATCAGGGAAATTAATTTACCCAAGTCTTTAAGGACGACAGGAATTCTTGTTTCAAATTTATTTCGTGAAGAGAAAAGATCCCGATGAAAAAATTAAGATGAGAAACAAATTAAGAAATGTAAGGACAGCATAACAATTCTGGGGAGTTTACCAAAATTTGACTTTAGACCTTCGATAATTGAGTCAGTGCCGTCGTAGTTTGTATTAGGCCAATGACCCCATCGCCATAGTAAAAGCAGTTGACAGTGAATGGTTTCTTTCTAAGACGAAAGTGCAGGGTTTTGTGAAATAGCGGGGAAATATATTTCTTTGGATATAATAGTACTTTTTTTTAACAAAAGTTACAAGACTTTTATACTTTGAATCGCTGGATTTAATTATTTTTTAATGCGTCATCATTTACAATACTTCTGTTATGAATTCGGGAGAAAAGGCCAGAAATTCTAATTATTTACTCCGAAACAACGTGACTGCATCATTATGTGTTGTAATACAGTCGAATGTTCGGGAATATATTTCTGAATGTAACGAAATAAACACAGAAATGAAGCATATTTGTATTCTTATGTGAAGAGGTGTTTAAAAGTATGCAATTTAATGAAAGCTGAAATGATGCTACAACTCTTCGTAGCATTTTCCAACATAACATTTCATCAAATTAGTTTGGCTTTAGTAGAGTTGTTTCAGCGGGATGGAGAGCGCACTTGAAAAAGTTAATTTCTATAAGCATTTTTTTTTTTGCTGATAAAATCATTATTAACGGCAACAGATCGGAACATATCGACCTATTAACTTAGTGACGTCATCCGTTTACCATTCTCAATTCTTCTGTATCCATCCACTATCCTCCTCCCAGCACTTCTCTGCCATTGAATGACGAATTACACTCAGTGTTCCTCCTTCTTTGGCGCAAACAGCCGAGCGCTTCTGTCGTCTGAAAATCTTTCGATTGGTGTCTGGACTTTTGACGGTGATGATAAGAGACTTTACAAAAGGAAGATATTATGCCTATAATATTAAACTCTTTGGAAACAAAAAAGAGGAGGGAAATTTTGTGAGCAGTAAATCGGTTAATATTAATGATGGTTTCGTCTACAATTTTTGTTTCTAATATTGGATATTTATAATAATAATGAGAAATGTCGGTACAAAATGAAATGCAAACAGGATAATAAAATAATCGAGATTTAATTCGAGATTGAGGATGGAAGATTTAGAACTGATTGTAAGAATTGTTCGTACAAGGGACACAAAAATTATGGAGGTCGATGTCTAGGAGCTGTGGGCGGGGGAGCTTGGTAACAGTGCAGGCTGTCTGTCGTATGTAATTGTTCAAATTAGTGCTTATTATTATTACTATTATTTGTCATTACATAAAGCAATTAGAGGAACTACGTTATATAATTAAACATTCACATTTTCAACGATGGATAACAATACATGTTTATGTATTCATAGGTGGTTTGTCTGGGAATAATTTTGAATATCTTTCGTCTTGTACGGATGAATCTGTGGACAAAGGGTGTTCTAAAAAAAAGGTCCTCACATGAAAGTTAAGAACTTTCGTGGAAATCCTTTCAGCCTTTCTCCAGTGCAGGTGACTAAGCGATTTAATTGGCACCCAGGAGGAATTCGAAAGACACAGAAAAGCTCCCTTAGTTTTTTACGAGAATGCAGACTTTATGTGGTCAACACAAGATATTTGCCTGATGGAAAACGAATAGATCATCGATGGGTTTCCTTCGCTTATGTTTTCGACTCTTCTTTTACGTTAATTTGTTTGAAAGAAGAAAGGAAGACTTTCAATATCGTGTACAGTTTATCTTTCGTAACTTTTTTTTTTTTGGTTGTTTCAGTAATAATCGACATCTTTCGTAACTTATTTTTTTGGTTGTTTCAGTAATAATCGATTTAAGCATATTTTAAAAGGTGTGTATTTCATCTATCCTGTTGATTATTTATACCGCGTTGTACTTTCTAAAGTAAAATTATAACACATACTCTGTATTCGTCTAATAATACTTGGGTTTATCTCCGTTTCATTTTGGTCTGTCCATCATTTTGAAAGAAGTTCACGATAAAGGAAAACGTAAAAATTATTACATAAAAAAATGATTCCCTTATCAGACTGGGAGCGAATTATCAACTGCAAATTTAGAATTACTTGTTAGCAAGAGTAATATTGTCATAGCAGTAAAATGCGAAATGATTTTATGCACCGGGAGTGCGTAAGGAGAAATATTTATGAAACGTGAAACGACCTATTGAGTGCAAATGCTTTCTTGCGAACTGATACTTTCGGTTATGTTGCATTAAGCATCAAGACACAATCCAGCGACGTGTTCTCTGTTCTTTCAGTGAGAAGCTGATTGATCCGTTAACGTACGGCTGGGATCGATTACCGATGTACTTTATGCCACCAGGTTCAGAATGAATCAGGAATATTCCACACAGTAATTTTTCTAAATTATTTCATTATGAATAAATACGGTTAGAACATGAAGCTTAAGACTCACTTACATATTATAAATTGTTATTAATACATCGTTCGTTACTTCTGAGGACATCTCCCTATTTCAAATTCACCCGGTCGGGATTCTTGTGGTGTTTACAACACCAAATTCTCTCTGTTGTCTTCACAAAAAATAGTCTAAGTAAAATGAATATAGTCAAAGCATTCATATAATGCTTTTATAAGATACGTTTTAATATTATTCTCTCAAGAAAATCTGCTTCTCTCATGTGAACCTTTCCCTTAAACTTTCCTGAACATAAGTGTGTGTTCGTTTTTCATTTTACATTTGCATGATACATCAACTTTTTATCTTTATCTGTCTAATTAACTATGTTACATGCATATTACAAATTATTTATATCTTATTGCGTAATTTTCTCCTTCCTTGTTACTTAAGCTCTTTTAGATTCAAAAACTCTGCAGGTACAACGTCAGAAGAATAAGAGATACATTAATTTATGTAAGCGTTTTGGTGTAGCAAAGACGAACGAACAGGAATTGTTTTGGAGAAACAAAGCTGCATGTCTTCTGATTACTATTCCCGTATCATCCCACTGGACTTACAATTTATGTTAAGACAAACATGTTGCAGTTTTGACAGGAAACATTCACCAGCGGGGACATGGGAGATGTCAGATATGCTTAAGGCTGGCAAGAACTAGGACTGTTACCCGAAAAGTTTTATACTAAATTTTTAATAATGTTCTGTGTCATGACACATCTCGAATTAAACTGACATTGAAACGCACCTTTTATTAAATAGCAAAATGCACCTTGAGTAAAGGCTGAATAATATTTGACATGAAAAATTGTAAGCTACAGAATGGGCGAGTGTCGAATCGAACTGGAGTTGTCATGAACGGAAATTCTTACTTTATTGTTTTTTCTTATATTACTTAAAATCATCTTGGCAGTTTTATTCGTTTCTAGACTGGTAATTCTTTAAAACATGAATTCTCAGCGTGCATCAGTCCTGTGGCCACACTCATCATTGCTTATCACCTCATGGACCGTGCGGTTTTAAATGAGGACAATTTATTAAAACTTCATGGCAGTTTATTAAAGCTGCTACTAATGCACATTGGCAAACAAGTTAGAATAATTATTACTCAATAACTTTATTTAATAAAATCGTAATTAGTGAGATATTTGATGCTGATTACGCTTCGTTAATCTTTTAGTACGAAATTTAAATTTAATTATAACTAAGCGTCCCCGCAATCACCTGTTTATCATCAGATGCTCTAACTCTTGGCTTGATGCTTTTAGTTAAACTGGCAGACATTGTTAAAATATCGTGTCTTCTGGTTAAAGTAAATGTATTTTATCATGCCACTGACGGAGACCGTGAAATAGGTATCTGCGGGCCGCAGTTTTCTAACCCTAGTTAAATTCATATAGCTATCATCATGAGGACCACAACAGTAGATTATAATAGGAAAGATGCTTGCTATCACATCTTTTCGTATTTTCAGTACATTTTTGTCAGTGACAATATATAGACTTATAACACTCTAGAATGAATGTTGAGATTATAAATTCAGCTACAGGGCGTCTAAAAACTTGCAGTTGCATGGAGTACAGACAAGTTAAACTAGAAATTTGCCTTTCTCAGGGTCATTCAGAGCTTGCAGTTGGCCACGCGAGTCCAACTTTGCTTCTCTAAGCTCTATCATCGTCGTTCTCTCCTGCTAGTCCACGCTAAATGTCCGCAGTTGATAAAACGACTGTAAATAGATTCACTACAGTTCTACAATAAAATATACTGTTTATTGGGATTAGAGGAAAGTAAGAAGATGGCTGTTTTCTGAGTCGTACCATGTAGTCTGATAGATGCTGACCGACGTTTCAGAAGAGCTTACTACCTTAATCGTTCTTTGTTTCTTAGGCTATTTTAACACACGCGAGTGCATCACTTTTTAAGATTATGGAGAGAGAGATAAAGGAGAGAAATAATAGAGGAAAAGGTTTAACGAAGAAGAAACAATAAGGAAAATCAGTATAATTTCTGGTTAAAATACTCTA